TAGAACTGTTAATTACCTCAACAAGACGAACGCAATGTCGAGCAAGCTAATCAATACTCAAGAAATTCCATTCCGCACGTATCCACCTTTGAGTGCCTTCTTGTTTCCTCAATTCAATGCCAATGATCCGAAACTGAAATTCACCCCTTAATGATACTACAACGATTTACTATACTAAGCAACTTCAATCTACAATATCAACATCCAATGGGACCAACATTAGTAACCAATTCCATAGTTTAGGTCATTTAGACAATTTACCAAACACCTAGTGGGCATACATTTATACATTTCTTAATCATAGAATTAGTTCTTCCAACTACCATCATTTACCAACAATTCATCCCACCATCATTCTTTAACAACTTATAATCCTAACATCACATGTGTGACCAACCATTCTCACCCAACCAACAAAATTCTATCAAATAATCACTTTTCAATTTCTACAATGGGTATTCATTTAAATTGAGAATTTTTGGCTTCCAATCACTATACCATGAGTTCCAATACTTTATTCATACTCAAATTTCCATAATAAATCCATACATGTATACATAATACTCTCACACCCAAGAATCATACTTCTTATGACCTACTTTTAATCCAAATCCCGATATTGAAAACTAGGGTATGGAACCTTACCTCTTTGATGAAGATCTTGTGATTAGCTTCCTTAATTCTTGAAGATTGGTGTAAGATTGGATGATTAGAATGTTAGGTTTACTCATTCTCTCTCTAAAATGATCTTATATCTCTCTAAAATATCAGATTTTAGCTCAAAAATGACTTAACCCCTCTCCTACCCGGCCTTGGGGGTATTAAATGAGCTCTTACGTGCGCGGCCTCGCACTTGAGGCAGAAAGTATCATATATGCGCGGTCGCTCATCTGGGCGCGCATATGACACAGGTCCAATAATATTGCCATAACTCTCTTTATACATATCCAAATGAAGAACGGTTTGATGCATTGGAAACTAGACTCAAAGAGATTAATCTGATAGGTTATACACCATATAACTCTTCACATCTTGAGATTTATGCTTGTTTGAATTTAGATCTTGTGCAAACTCACTTGAAACTTCATCCCATCATATAATTTTCAACTTGACTTAGCCTTAGGGCTCTTCTTAGACCCTAAACCATTCTTAATGTACCTCATACATATATTATCATGATTAATTTATATCATTCTTGTTCATACCCGAATTGATATAATTAGCACCCGTCAATCTTCTTAATGGTCTTAAAATACTTCAAAATTTTTCGGGGTGTTACACGAGTCAACGAAACATCTCATCAGTCACGTCATTTTAACTTCTGACACGTGTCAGCTGCCGGTTGACTATCTTCAAATGTGAAACATCATGCATTGATTGTCTTTCCTCTATAAAAGCTCGGGCCCTTTTACACTTATCCACTTTCCAATTACAGAACTAATTTGATTGACCCTCAGATTTTCTACGTTCCTTTAACTTTTTACTTCAAAGCTCTATCGAGAATGACTTCAACATCGAAAAGGCCTCCAATCAACAAGATCGAGGCGACGTAGAATGAAGGTACATATGCTCTGTTACTAAGGAGACACTACCCACTGTCCGGGTAGACTGTAACTGGGAGGGAAAGGAGGTGGTCGTCCGCAGGCCCAATGAAGACATCACTACTCACATAGAGGGGTACTAAAGTGTTTACCGATGGTAGGCTAGAATCACGTGTTTTAGTCATAGTTTGTACTCTAATTACTGTATTTTACTTGTGTTTGAGCTTAAATATTAGTGTATTGCACTTATTATGTATTTTGTGCCTTACAGGAAGTGATTTCGAGTTAAAATGATATTCGGGAGGTAAATTGAACAAGTTGGAGCTTTGACGTCTACGTAAAAGCTCAAGGGATTAACCAGGATCGCGTTCAGGGGTCGAGGACTAAGTCACGATGTCAAAACGTGAATAAAAAGAGTAACTATGGAAAACCTCCATTGCCGCGCTGCATGGGGAGGCGCGACAGTGTAATTTATGTTACTTCCTGTCAGAACATGCTCTCTGAACTTCCCCAATATCACCCCGCATGGGGTGGCGCTCTTGTGCATGTTTCTCAGAGTATTTGTCCTGTTTCAACTTGAAAAAGGTAATTTCGCCTGGGCTCACTCCTACAGGGTATAAATACACTAGAAAGTTGTTTTCGATGGGACTTTTGACCTTGGAAGCTTTGGGAGATAATTTGAGGCTACAAGATACAAGATTTCATCATCTTACCATCAATTCAAGATGGGAGTTTGGATTGTAACATTAGATTGATATTTTCTCATTCTTTAATTACATTTGTGATGACTTCCTCCACAATTATGGAGTAGTTTCCTATAGGGTTTGACGGATTTGGTGTGTTGATAAATATTTATGGATTTTAACTCTAGTTCGTGGTTGAATTCGTTTATGGAGTTTTGAATTGTTGCAACTCTATTCATCAGTTTATTTAATCGAAAGATGAATATCTTTGTGATTATCTTTGCATTATTTTGTTTGATTTAATTCGTTGATTCTCTTAAGTAATCGGAAGAGCTTGTTGAATTGTTGATTAAATCAAGTTAGGAGAATATTCGAGAGACGTTTTCCTAAGGACCAATCCATTAACGCATGCTTGCATACTTCACTGTGCTTATATTAGTTCACCTCATAGAGTTAAGATTTAATTGAAGAGGATTCTTGACTACAGTTTTGAACTAATCTTCAAGTGAATTCGTGAGTATTATTAGAATATTAGAATGAATTAAACTAGAGTTAAATCTCAAATAGCTATTTTGTACCTATCCTATCAAACCCTTATTCCTCACATTGATAAGAAACCAATTCTGCGAATCTATAATTCCTTGATGTCAATTGTAAATTGCTTTATTTTAGCAGTTAAACTTAGTTTATAATCATTTAACTCAAGTGTTGAGCCTCCTAAATAGCAGTTAACCCATAAATTACTCGAACATTATTTAAATCCAATCCCTGTGGAGTCGATATTATACTATATTATATTTAATTAGCAAGCATCAATTTCGTGTTGTGTTTTGCGCTCGTCAAATTTTGGCGTCGTTGCCGGGGCTTGGCAATCAATAATGTTCAAATTAGTTTTTGGTACTCATTAAGGAATTTATTTTATTTTATTCTATTTTTCTTTTATTTTATTCACGGGTTTCCTCTTTCGTGTGCAGGCAACAAATTGATATCTCTGGTGTATGACTCGATCTTCTTCAAAGGAATTGATTCCATAAAATCTAGAGGTAGAAAAGAGTCTGCGACAGTTAAGGAAAAAGAAAGAACTCACCGGGAAGTTCTTGGGGAAACCTTCAATCTAAGAATACATGGCTAATAACGGTAAAGATGAGGTAAATTTAGTTGTAAGAGAAGCATCACAGCACAGAGTAGAAGCTACAAGGATAGCAGCTGAGGCAGCCCGTAGAGCTGCTGATGAGACCGTCAACGATGATGGGTGTCGGAGATTAGCAGCTGAAGATTAGTTCGAGAATGTTGTACCCATGCCTGGTAAAGCATTGGGTGATTATGCCAGACTAGTCTACAATTAGGGTATGTCCAGTGTCAGACCTCCACCAGTAGCAGTGAATAATTTTGAGTTGAAGCAAGGCTTGCTTCAAATATCGAGAACAAATGTGTCTTCAGAGGGAAGGTGAATGAGGATCCTAACACTTACTTGATGGATTTTGAGGAAATCATGAACGCCTTCTAGTACAACGGAGTGTCAAAAGATGCAGTATACTTAAGGGAATTCCCCTTTTCACTAAAGGATGATGTGATGCACTGGCTTCGAAGCTTACAACCAGGGTCGATCGGGACATAGGAATATATGAATAAAACTTTTCTCGACAAATACTTCTCAGCTACTAAAACAGTGAAATTCAGAAGGGAAATTCACAACTTCTGCCAAATGGACACTGAAACAGTTTTTGAGGCTTGGGAAAGATTCAAGGAGATGGTGAGAAAGTTTCAGCATAACGGTATTAAATTGTGGATGCAACTCCTGGAGTTTTTGGGATGGACTGATACCTACCTCACGACGAACTCTGAACACTACAGTCGGAGGTCATTTAATGAAGAAGACTCCTGGGAGATTGTGGCGATTCTTGACAAGCTATCTGAAGATGCTAACCAGTAGCCTGCTAAGAGTAATGATAGAAGAAGATCAGTTGGGTTTCATTAAGTAGATTCTAACACAGTAGTGCAAGCCCAACTAGATTCCATGTCCAAAGAGATAAGAAAGTTGACCTTAGCCAAGGTCCGGAGCCAGCCATCACCAGTTTGTGATTTTTGTGAAATGGGCCATCCAACGCACGAGTGTTAGGCCTTAGCTGTAGATGAAGTGGTAAATATTGTGGGAATTGTTTATAGAGGCAACTACCAGAGTGGTAATAATTTTAATTGTATGGGACAGAGGCACCCAGGAGTTTCTTGGAATTCACCAAGTGGTAGCCTGAACTCATGGCAGCAAAATAACTCTAGACCTCAGGGACAAGGAGCTCCAGGCTTTCAAAATCAGCATAGGCAGCAATATCAGCCTACACAGTCTAATCAATCTAGAATGGAAGATCTAATGAAGGCCTTCATCATCAAGACAGATGAGAGGCTTGACACCCATGGTGCAAATATCAAAGAACTGGGCACATCATTTTGAAACCTGGAAAGACGGGTTGGAAACTAGCTACTCTATTGTCTGAGAGGGTTCCAGGAACGCTCCCTGCTGATACTAAAAGAAATCCAAAAGAGACAATAAATGCAGTGTCCTTGAGGAGTGGGCACGAGTTGGAGGATCCTATAGCAAAGGAAAAGGAGGAGCCGATTGGAAAACTGGTAGACATTATGGAAGAGCAGAAAAATAGCAACATTCAAAAAGGTGCGAGGATGGTAGATGATGGTCTGAAGAAGAAGGGGGAGACTAGATCTTAGAAAAAGAAGAAAAAATGGTAATTCGACAAATAATGAGACTGAAGAGAGCAAATACATGCCAGCTCTACATTTTCCCCAAAAGCAAAGAAGAGAGAAGTTAGACAAACAATTCGAGCACTTTCTAGAAGTGTTCAAGCAGGTGCATGTGAATATACCTTTCACAAAGGTTCTTTCTCAAATGCCAGCTTATGCTAAATTCGTGAAGGAGATATTGTCCGAGAAGAGGAAAGTGGAAGAGACATCAGTTGTCAAGCTGACAGAGCATTGTAGTGCCATCTTACAAAATAAGCTCCCTAAAATAAATGGAGATCCAGGGAGTATTACTATACCTTGCTCTTTAGGAAGTACTAAATTTCAAAAATCTTTATGTGAATTAGGTACTTCTAATAATATTATGCCTTTGTCTATTTTCAAGAAATTAGATGGAGATATTGAAGAAAGCAGGTTGATACATGTGTCCTTGCAGCTGGCGGATCATACCACAATCATACCTGAAGGAATAGTGAAAGATGTGTTGGTTCGGGTAGACAAATTTATGTTCCCTGTGGACTTTATTATGGTGAACATGGAGGAAAATAGGGAGGTCCCTCTTATTTTAGTAAGACCATTCTTAGCTACGGGAAGAGCAATTCTAGATCAGGAAAGGCAACCCATGCTCAGAATGGGGGATGAAAGGCTAATCTTCAAGATGGAAGGAGAAAGGGGGGCCTGAAAGAGTAAATTGGAAAGAGTGAAGCTGATAAGTGTGGGGTGTACCCAAAGAAGGCATAAAATAAGCTCTCATCGTGGATGTGTGCACTGGGTCGAGCGTGCAAAGGAGATTCTGACTTCGATTCAGACCCCGACTAGATGAATCAGGAAAGTTTCCTTTACCTCTTGCTTTTTATTTGTATGTCATGTGGACATGCCACCGTTTAAAGTGTGGGGTGGGGAATGTATCTATGTATATGTGTGTTTGTAATCATTTTTTTTATTGAAAAAAAAACCCTACGATGGATCTCCCCGGCTGTCTTCTTGAGGGATTATAGTCAAAGAAAAAAGACTTTAGCCTTTTGTTTGTGTTTTGTTTTCTTAGGTAGTTTAACAATTCCCCTTTGGTTCTTATTTGTGTCGCGGTTCATTTCCAAGGATTTTGCTTGAACGTGGTGTAGTTAGTTTTTCTTTTAGTAGGAGTAGTGAAGTCTTGTGTTAGGTGTTAAAGGGAGATAATTTTTCTGGACTTTGTTGTGCCTTGAGAGCAGTGAGTGCCTGATTTGTGATGCCTAGGCTCAGTTTTTGACTCCTAAATAAGTACCTTGAATTTTGTGATTGTAACATTGCTTACTGCTTTGACTGGAGAGTCGGTATAGATCTGATCCTAAGTGAGTTACGTGTCAATGTGTGTGTGAGATTTTGTTATGTTCTGTGCATGTCAGTTGATGTCTAGAACTTACTTCATGTGTTTCCAAAGTGAAATAGTAGTCTTGTTCAGTCTAGAAAGTGATATAGGCATTTCTTTATTGAGCCAGATATATGCTTTTACCCACCAAATTAATGTGTATATTAGTTAGCTTCGTTGAGCCTTTAATCATATTTCTTTGGCAACCAAACTACAAGCTTGACCCCTTTGTTTGAATTGTCTATATGTTTGAACCTTTTTACCTCTCGTGAGCACTTGAAATAGTTATGAGCCTGTGAAAGAGAAAGTTGAGGTATGGTCGGGTTTTGAGTGGAACTATAGAAAAAGGAGAAAGGTGCGCTAGTTGAAAAATTGTGAGAGCCATTTGTAGAGAATTGAAAAAAAAAAGTTTGATTGAAAAGGGAAAAAAATCAGAACTTAGAAAAGAAAAAATGAATTCCATGCTAGTGGTAGTTCTCATCTTGTTTGTGCTTAAAGATATTAGGAGTTGATGCTATTATGAATGAAGGTTCGGGTTTGGTTCAACATAAGTGTGGGGTTTGAATTGTTAATGTATATATATTAAAGTGCTTAGGGAGGTGTAGTCACTATATCCAAATCTATCCTACTCGTCCCGCAACCTACATTACAACCAAATTAAGTCCTACTTGATCCTTGACTGACCAAGCTCAATTAGTAAAGTATTACACTACGGGCAAGCCTATGGTGTATCTTCTGTGGCATTTGAATTTTAATTCTGAGAGTAAGTGAATTCTTTCTATCTTGAGTTCCTAATTGTTCTTGAACTTTATTGTGTGTAGAACTACTATCTATTATTTGTGTAAGGGCACATGACTTGCAAAGGAAAGGTCATGTCTTTGACCTCTGTGTTAGAGTAAGTGAGCATATTGTGAAAGATGCGTGGTGCTAATGAGTCGAGTCTTGAGGCTGGGATGTTATGATAGGGTGCTTAGTCTGTTTTAAATATTTTTGGCATGATGTGTTAGTGAAGTTGTCTGAAAAGAAGGTCGTCTCTATGTGAAGTGCAATTTGACAGCTCAAGGATGAGTAATGGTTTAAGTATGGGGTGTTGATGGTAGGCTAGAATCACGTGCTTTAGTCATAGTTTGCATTCTAATTACTGCATTTTACTTGTGTTTGACCTTAAATGTTAGTGTATTGCACGTATTATATATTTTATGCCTTACAGGAAGTGATTTCGAGTTAAAAAGATATTCGGGAGCTAATTGAACAAGTTGGAGCTTTGAAGTTAGAGTAAAAGCCTAAGGGATTAAACCGGGATCGCGTTCAAGGGTCGAGGACCAAGTCTGGATGTCAAAATGTGAAGAAAAAGAGTAACTCTAGAAGACCTCTACTACCACATTGCATGGGGCGGGGCATGGGGCGGCGCATGGAGCGGCACGACAATGTATTTCTATTGCTGCCCGTCAGAACATGCTCTCTGAACTTCATCATTAGCGCCCCGCATGGGCCGGCGCAAGGCGCGGCTATGCAATTTTCTCAAAGTATTTGTCCTGTTTCAGCTTGGAAAAGGTAATTTTACCTAGGGCCACTCCTACAGGGTATAAATACATCAAAAAGACATTTTTGAATGGACTTTTGACTTTGGAAGCTTTGGGAGAGAATTGGAGGCTAAGGATCAATCCATTAACGCATGCTTGCATACTTCACTGTGCTTATATTAGTTCACCTCGTCGAGTTAAGATTTAATCAAGAGAGGAGTCTTGACTACACGTTTGAACTAATCCTCGAGTGAATTCCTGAGAATCATTAGAATATTATAGTGAATTAAACTAGAGTTAAATCCCAAATAGCTATCTTGCACCTATCATGTCAAACCTTTATTCCTCACATTGATAAGAAACCAACTCTACAGATCTCTAATTCCTTGCTGTTAATTGTCAATTTCTTTATTTTAGTAGTTAAACTTAGTTTATAATCATTTAACTCAAGTGTTGATCCTCCTGAATAGCAATTAACCCAGAAATTACTCAAACATTGTTTAAATCGAATCCATGTGAAGACGATATTATACTATACTATTTTTTCTTAGCGAGCATTCATTTCGTGTTGTGTTTTGCGCTCGTTATTTACACTTACCCCTTCACGCTCGTCTCAGTGGACCCCATAGTACTCGATTTCTACAAAAGGTACGAGGTCTTCCTTTAGCATCTTCACCCATCCTTTTAGAGGATCTTAATCCTCCTTCGACACTTCGTAAACAACATCGAATCACCTGGGTTCACCCTCGACCATCTACTTCGTCTATACAATCCCTGAATTATTTTAGGGGGGTTGATCAAGCTCGTTCGCCGAGCAGGTAAGGCTCCATTCTCGAGCATTGACGATGACCAAGATCGAGGTTGGCAAGGGAGGTTCATTTGGGTGAAAACCGAAGACATCATCCCCTCCGAATTTCTACTGTTCCCCCAAAAGTGGGACGCATCCCGTAAGTCTTTTTCTTCTCGAATATTTGGCATTCCCTTTTATTCTTTACGCGCATGGAGCAAGCTCTCAAAGGGCAAGTGGGAGGCCCATTCCCATGGTGAGGCTCTTCCATGAATGGTAACACTCATACACTTGACTTATATTTCATTGAGTCTTCTTCCTGCTTATAGGTTTGCACAAGATCACCGAGCCCAGGCCGTTGGATGAGGAAGAGGATTCGCTCTCGCTCGACGAACCCTCTACTTTGGGACAGCTCGGGGCTCCCGCAAAGGAGGATAAAAATAAAAGTAAGAGTAAGTCCTAGGGCTCCCCGGATGCCGAGGTGAATAAAAAGAGGGTGGCCATCCGGTCCAGAAAAACAAACAAAATACCAAGTCCAGGGTACCGGACTCTGATTCCTACTACCGACTCAGGGACTACCTCGAGGATGATGACCTTGAGTTTATTGCTCACGAGTCGACCATCAATGAAGGGGAGCAGGTGGCCACCAGTAAAGGTAACCAAGAGGTTGATCCCCCTCTAGCTCGGGGACCAGAGGGAGAGTTTGTGGCCATGGCCTCCCGAGAAGTTGCTCCTGTCCCCGAAAAAGGTAGCCGGTGTCATTAACATTGCGGAGATATTGTCCTATACTAAGTCCATGCTCGAAGAGGCTCAAGCTGATAAAGAGAAATCAAACAAGGTGGCGTCGGGCCAGATGATGCCCTCAACAAGTTCTTCGATGGCATGGACATAGTCGTGTTGGAGGACTTCTCCGGGCTTAGTCACCTGGAGGTCCCAGAAAAGGATGTGCCATCAGGAGTGGGCGAGCCTAGCTTGAGCCCAAAACTAGTGAAGCAGTTCCCTACCCCGAGTGTGGACCTTGATCGTAAGAGAATGATCATCCTTACTATCCCAGCGTAAGCCCGGGCACTATCCGCTCCGGTGAGCTTGGCCAGCTACCTTCGTTGCCTAGTAACCGAGGAGAAACAGGCAAATATGAATGAGGTAGGCACGTCCAGCCTCTTCAACACGACGCAACAGGCACTGAACCGGGTAAGACATTTATCCTTTATATCTTTCGCGGATTGTTGCTCAGCATATTCTAATGGCCTAATTATTTTTCAGGCTTCAGTGCTTCACCATGAAAGCTTCCTTCGGTCTCGCTTGGAAATCTGTCAGCTCGAGTTCGAGCTCAAAAAGCAGATTCGGAAGGACATGTATAGGGATCTTAGTGAGCAACAAGATAAGGCTCTTAAGGATCTCCCAACTCTCCGGGCCGAGCTGGAAAAGGATTAGAAAGAGGCCTCGTCTGTGAAATGGGAGCACACCGATATGGTCGAGAAGGTAAGGATCTTTAAGGCTAAAAATGAGAAGCTACTCGTGATGACTAACAATGCAACCCCGTATGTCCAAGAGAAGGTAGACTTGATCAACCAACTTCGAGATGAGTTGGACGAGGTCAAGGCCACGACCTAAGCGTCGAAGGGCAGTATGGACCTGCTGGCTTCGGAGAAAGAGTCTACAAAAGAGGAGTTGCCATCGGTCAAGGACCAACTTGGGGTGGAAAGGGGCAAGGCCGATAAGTGGTATCGGCTAAATGATGAACTTCTGGCATAGCTGAATTCAGTCGTCACGGAATGGGATGCCCTCGGCCAAGAATATACTGCGCTGAGGTCCAAATTGGAGGCAACTTTCATCGATTCCTCCGAAGTTGAGGAGATAACCGAGGCCCGCTTAAAGACAAAGACCGAATATATGAAGCGACTATCTTGGAGAGAGACCCTCGAGGTGATTCACGCCTGAGGTTTTGACCTATCGGACCAGATCGAAGAAACCAAAAAACTCGAGGTCGAGGGATAGAACCTCTTTGAGCCTACGGGTCCCGA